TCCAGAATCGAGCTGCGCGGCTGGTGAGTGGTGGGGCCGCTAGGGAACAATACAAGCCAATTCTGTTTAAGTTACATTGGCTACCAGTTGCTACCCGGCCCCAATTCAAAGTGCTTGTTTTGACATATAAAGCCCTAAACAGCTTGGGCCCTGGATACCTGAAGGACCGCCTCCTTCCATATGAACCTACCCGGCAGTTAAGATCTAGCCAGGGGGCCCTCTGGTGAGTGGTGGGGCCGCTAGGGAACAATACAAGCCAATTCTGTTTAAGTTACATTGGCTACCAGTTGCTACCCGGCCCCAATTCAAAGTGCTTGTTTTGACATATAAAGCCCTAAACAGCTTGGGCCCTGGATACCTGAAGGACCGCCTCCTTCCATATGAACCTACCCGGCAGTTAAGATCTAGCCAGGGGGCCCTTTTGAAAGAGCCATCCCTTAAGGAGATAAGAGGGAGGGCTTGTAGAGAAAGGACCTTTTCGGCAGCTGCCCCAGACTATGGAATGCCCTCTGGACTGAGATTCGTCTGGTGCCGATGTTGATGACATTTTGGTGCCAGGTCAAAACCTTCCTGTTCTAGAAGGCTTTTAATTGAAATAATATCAGCTGTGGGTCCGATGGCAATTTTTAGAGTATATATTTTTGATTGCATTTTAATTATTTTGCTTTTTAATTGCATTTTAAATGTTGTAAGCCGCCCCGAGATCTTAGGGTAGTGTGGGTGGCATATAAGTTAAATAAATATAAATAAATAAACAAACAAACAAACAAACAAACTCTCATGCAGCTAACTATTCTTAGAATTCTTCAGGTCATGGGGAATTCAATGAACTGTAATCCAAAAAGTAACTTTCTGAAACATTTTGACAGCCTGTGATTAATATCAGCTGAGACATAAAGCTATGTCAAGTTTAAAAAGTCTCCATAACATGAGCCCCGCCCAAATAAAATGATTTCAACCTCTTTCACACACATACAAGTGTCATAATTAATTATTTCTGTTTAATTTAGCTGCTTCTTATGTGAGGTTCTAAGCTGTAACTTACTAAACTGGTGTATAAATCCACCAATGTATCCATCATGTGATTCATTCGTAACTAGAGATGGGGTTATTTGTGTATTTGTATATGAATACCCCCGCACAGTTGGATGTGTCCGCTGCCACCGCCGGCTCTGCTTTCCCTTCCAATCGCCCCAGAGCTCACGGTCAGCTATCCATTCGTCAGCCTGGCAGGGTGACCCATCTTCCCTTCTTCTGCCAGGAGTGGATAGTCGACCACGAGCTCTGACATGATTGGAAGGGAGAGCATTATTTGTGTATTTGTATATGAATACCCCCGCACAGTTGGATGTGTCCGCTGCCACCGCCGGCTCTGCTTTCCCTTCCAATCGCCCCAGAGCTCACGGTCAGCTATCCATTCGTCAGCCTGGCAGGGTGACCCATCTTCCCTTCTTCTGCCAGGAGTGGATAGTCGACCACGAGCTCTGACATGATTGGAAGGGAGAGCAGAGCCAGCGTCTTCCCTTCTTCTGCCAGGAGTGGATAGTTGACCACGAGCTCTGACGTGATTGGAAGGGAGAGCGGAGCCAGCGGTGGCAGCAGCGGACATGTTATGTCCAGCTCTGCGGGGATATTCGTATACAAATACCCCCATCTCTATTCATGGCCATACTGGAAGTCTTTTTTTGTTAACTGCCATTACTGGCATAGAGATTCTAATCATCATCACCTACCTGCTGAGCAATTGCTGTTATTCATGATGAACTCCACAAGACTTGGGAACACTAAAGCCAACCAAAACCTAATCCATTTGATCTGTGCACGAATTATAGTTCTTGGTAAACTGAGATTGGCAGACTTGACCTCATACACCTTCTGGCAACTGGAAAGATCACAAAACCACTAAAGCATTTTTAAATTTTATTTGATCTCCACAGACAGTGTCACATTTACTAAACTAATTCTGCATTTGGACACAATGGCAGTAATAAAATATCTGTACACTACATCTGTTACAAATATAGAGAATATTTCAAGTGGCTGTCCATACTGTAAAGTAGGTATAACACATTCTAAATTATTAGCGTAGACAAGACAAATAAACCAACACTGATTGCTTCCAGTTGTTGTACTTTATGTGGGCTGGCCCCACACAATGTCTGTAATTAATGATACTTAAAAGTAAGTTCTGTAAATTGCACTGAGCTACCAGCTTTTTAAGAGTATCTGAAGAAAGTTCTTAACCTTATTCTCAATCCAAGTAAAAACTACCTGTGTCTCTTGTATTTGTTTGACTGCCCTGGCCACTAATCAGCAATACTTAAGCACAGACAGCTGCCTCTTTTACTTCCTTAAATGTTTTCTAAGCCAACAGGCAAGACCTGATGAGAGTAGACCAAAATGGAAAGAACAAATTTGTTCTTAGATGTCTTCCTTTTCTATTACATTGAAAAAAGGAGTGTTTTGTTGGGAGGGGGTGTTGCATCAAGAGATTTGAAGTTCCTGCAACAAGGAACAAAAAAAAAAAAAAAAAAACCCTAACTGCTACAGCAAGGAATCTAACATTTCCCATTACAGTGTTTGATGTACATTGAAGGTTTGTTTAGTTTCCCAATTTGGCTGTAAAAGTTACAGCACCTTATGGAATTTTAGGGTAGAACTAAAATTCTCCTGCGAATATTTCCAGTGTGGAAAAGGGACTGCACTGAGCAAAGTGCTTTTTATCCTGGCTTTATGTTGTTCAGGGCCACAAATGACTGCAGCTCTGTTCCTGTAACACATATTTTGCTTGAAAACCAGCTTTTATTCACTAGTTGCAGTGGGGGCGGATGGCCAGTTATTTTAACGAAGCTAATACAGAAAGAGGGCAGCGCTTTCTCAAACAGACATTGCCGTTATTCTGAAGAGGCCATCTTTGCCCTCAAAACTACAGCAATGTCAACTCCGATTGGTTGCAGCATGGTTATGGTGCTATTAAGAAAGATGAAAAAATATACCTTTTAGAGAAAGCGTCCAGGCAGTGGCAGTAATGCTCCACTGTGAGGCCTTCAAAAAGCTATGAGGTGGCTGGGAAGAAGGGCTGCCATTCATCTGAATGCTTTGTCTTCTCCAGTTTCTTCCTCACCCCCTACGAAAAACAAACCTCTGAAGTTGGCATGTAAATTTTCACTTGTTTTGTCTTTGGATGTGAGCAGAGAAACTGCAAAGTTATTCTTCTTATTCTAAAAGAGACTAAGGTATTCTGCACCACTCTGAACAAGACAAGGAGAACGAAAACAACAACTGTTTTGCACTAAATAACTGGACAAATAACACTTCATACAGAAAAACACTTTGAAGCATGTAAAACACAAGGCACAAATGCCTGTGGCTGCTGCTGCAGCAGCATTTTTCATGGATTTTAAAGGATCAGAAACATCAGAGAGGGCTGCTTATCTTGTTATTAAAATTCACCCAGTCCTTTTGTGATTGCTCTATGTGTATGCTTTGCTTCTTAAAATGAAAGAACACTACTTCTTGAAAGGAGACCATTTGCACACAATCCAGATACACTGACAAGAAAAAAACACCACTCTTTGTCTTACTCTTCCCTAGAGGAGAGGAATCTTTTACGGGTGGGGGCTTGAAAATTGCTTGTTGAAATGTCTCCCCAAGTGAGACAGCCTAAATCAATAAGAATGAAGAATTTAGTAAGTATTCTTTGCCAAACTATTCTGAAGGTACTAAACATTACAGAGGAGAAAATGTTCATAAAATATACTTTTCTGGCCTAAAACATGACACCCTTATAAATCTAAATAAGCTTAAGGCAGAGCTGAGGAAGTGGGTTGGCTGCATACAAAGTGAAATGCAAGTACTATGTAAATGAAGGAAAATGCAGAGGGAAGGAAGTCAGAAAAGTGGATGGAAAATCACAGTTGTAGCGAAAGTATAAACACGCTCAGTAGAGGGTGACAGTGCAATTCCATGTGACTCAGAAGTAAAGCACACTGCATTCAGTGAGACTTCTCCCAAAGCTTGCAGCCTATGCTGCGTAACTGAGGGCTTACATATGAGTCTGCTTTGGATTGTGCCAGCAGCTGCTTCTGCTTCTCCCTCAGTTATTCTTTGAGAAGTCAGTATCAGCTGCCCTTGTGGCAGATGTTAATGTACGTGTACTACTTGCTTTCCTTTAGAATCCTGATGTGACTCTGAATATTTTTCATTCCCACATTTCATCACACAACAACCCCAAGAACAGTTTTGTCTAAGCCAGAGATACACAAAGTACTAAATGCAGTGATGGCCCAAATGAACAAGAATAAACAACAAAAGGTATCCTGGGATATCCGTCCGTAGCAATCACAGCCAGGCTCATACCTCTCTTGTACGGTACAATGGTGCCTCGACTTACGAACGTCCCTACTGACAAACATTTCGACTTACAAACAGCTCCAGTCGTAACATTTTGCTTTGACTTGCGAATGGAGCTTCCATTTACGAACAGAAAAAAGGCGGGCAATTCAGATTTCTAAGTGTAGGTGGTGACGAGGCTGCTTCGTACTGTAGCTCTCTTTCACATTCAGCAGTTAGAGAGTGTGTCGTTGTCGTTGTCGGCTTGGGGCTGCCTCCTCCTGCTTCAGAGTTGAGTGTGTGTGTGTGTGTCTGCATGGAGGTAAACTGCTGTTTTCTCCTTTTAAAAATTGTTCTGGGTGGGTTTTGGTATGTTTCTGTGCTGTGTTGTTGGTGGCTTTGCTGTTTGTTTTTTGAGGTTTTTTTCTTCTTAAAGCTCAGCAACGGAGGTGGCTTTAGTGTGTATTTCTGGAGGTTATTTTTTTCTTCTTAAACCTCAGCAATGGAAGTGGCTTTTGTGTTTCTTTCTGGAGGTTTTTGCTCTTAGACAAGTTATCATAATAAAAGCATGAGATGATAAGGCTGGGAGGAAGTAACTAATCAGAGCTTAAGAAAGTTACTTTTTTTTTACCATAATTTGTGATCTTTCCTTGTGGCACAAAAATGAACTGATATCCCATGTTAGTCCAAACTAATGGGTGGAAATCTGTTAGTTTCCAGGGCCACTACTTCATTTCAACTGCATAAATATCATTCTATGCCCCATATTTATTGCTTCACTATTGGGCAGGTCTCATCATGGCTCTGAACAGATTATTCCTATCTAGAGAGTGACATAAAAGTAATGGGAGCAGCTCCATTGGTTCTGCAGAACTCATTACACTTGTGATTCCTGAAATCCTAGAAAAATGAACAAGGACATTATGTATTATATATGAACCATTATTCTAATCTATGTGCACAGACCAAATTCAACTGGTGCAACTATTCAGAGTTTAGAAAGGGATGTGATATGCCATAATGGTGTCATAGATGATAAGTCTCAGAAAAAAAAGGATGAGAGCCCTAATTCAATTTTAGCATGACTGAAGGGATCAAATTTCTAAGAGTTAAGCACTCATAATCCTGTGCCTAGGTGATCAAATCTTTTTACAAATCTTGACTTTTTTCTAACCCCCACTACGAAGACATTTGCAAATTTCTTATCAAAAATGAGCTGAGGAATTCTCACCCAAATCTGGTAATGGATGTAATAAAATGAATGCTGAAGTGAGAAACACGCTTTCATCTGGTACATGACTAAATGATGATTCAATGGTGGAGGGAATCAGTAGCAAAGCAGATGCCTTGCCCAAAGGAAATTCAGAGTTCTATCTCTACAGCTCCCAAGCTAAAGTATTCCAGACTCAATGAGAGCTTGAGGCATTGACAGGCACAGTCAGAATGTAGGGCAGTATAGGACTAAATGGGGCCACTAATTCAAGTTCAGGTAAGATTATAGTTTGGGCCCTAAAACAAATGGGTCAAACTAACATTGCTTCGGTGATTTAAAAAAACACATTTACAACTCCAGGGCCACTACTTCATATCAACTGGATAAATATTGTTCTTTGCCCCTTATTTATTGATCCATCTTGCCTTTGTACAAATTATTCCTATCTAGAGAGCTACATAAAAGTAATGAGAGCAGCTCCATAGCTTCTGCAGAACTGCATTGCACTTGTGCTTCCTGGAATCCCAGGAAAATGAACAAGGACATTATGTATTTTAGAGTGAAAACTAGAACCACTCTGTCAAACACATGGTACACAGGCTACAAATTAGTTGTGTAAAATGTTTAGTTCTTCAGGTTGACAAAATTCTATGCAAGACCAAGGTCCCTTTTCCTTGGTTCCCACATCACTTACATTAAGTCAATTATATAAACTACACAAACACATGTGAATATTATGATACTCACATTCTAATCCTCCTCCTCTTTTGATAAATCACATGTAAGCTCACACCACTCATGTGCCACTTTTGTAACAAATTAGTGGTCCCAATAAAATGCATTATCCCACTCAGATTTTTGGTTCTCTCTGCAGTTCTAGAGCTTGGACTACCTTTTCGGTTACTCTGGTTCTCTTGAACATCTCATTGATATTCTGGCCATTACTGCCAGGATCCTACAGTGAAGGAACAAGAGGTACCCTATATAGGTGGGATCTCTGTAAGAAGCAGGCATTGTGTTCCTGTTGCAGAGATCGTTGCATTGAACCCAGCTTCTAGAACTCCCTAGGCATCATGCGACTGGTAGTCTAAAAGAAGTAACTTTCCCTATCTTTGATTATTTGCTACTAGTTAATAGGGATAAAAAGTGGAAATCCAATCCAGCTTTATAGTCTTCATCCAAGCTTCTAATATTAGCCTTTACAAAGAAGAGTTATTCCTGAGTATAGGTATTATAGAAAGGAGCTTTTCTCTTCATGTTTAATTGTTGGGCATATGATTATTATCAAGAGTGGTAACATTTAATTAGGCTGATTAATTCATGCCTTTAAGAGCTTTCTCTTTCAAGTCAACAACAGTAAATTGATGTTCATGAAGGTAATTCTGTCAAAGATTATGCATTTTTGGAATTCTGGAACATAAATCCCTCAACTGTCTCCAAATTACTAAAACATTCTTCACATTTCCCCTTCTTTTATTTATGTGTCCCCACCCCAACTATGATTTTATCACTACTGCTTTCAGGGTCTCCTCTCAGGATCCTACAAGAAGCCAACCTCTGCAGTTTGACAGTATGACATTTCTACTGTGTATAAAAATAAGATCCTTTGCCACCTTTCCCCTATGGTGTACAACAGCCTGGCAAACTGCAATTATAGCAAAAGTGCTACATAAACATTTCCACTGTCTTGCTACATGGAATGTGGACAGAGTGATTGCGCTGACCTCTTTGGACACAAGGTTCAAGAAAGAACAGTCAATGTGACCGTTCCTTTTGTCCTTTTTAGAATAGCCACAGCTTCTTCATGGGTGACTCCCTCCAGGCTCTGCCCATTGACAGCAATAATCTGATCCCCTCTTTTCAGGCGTCCGTCTTCTGCTGCTGCACCCTGAAATTACAAAGTAAAGTGAAACTGCCTTGGGCCTACAACCCAAGGGGGGGGGAGAGGGAAGGAAGGAAGGAAGGGTTGTAGGTTTTTCAGGCTGTTTGGCCGTGTTCTGGTGGCACAGAGACTGGTGAAACTTTGGGAAGAAAAACCTCCAGAACATGACCAAACAGCCTGAAAAACCTACCAACACCGTCAGATCCTGGTCATGAAAGCCTTTGAGAATAACAAAGGAAGGAATTTTTGCCTTTATTTTGTACCAATGGCCATTTACACTGATCTTTGTTTGGTACTACTCCACAATCTATGTGACCTATTTTTACCATTTGGGCGAAGGAAATATGATGCTCTCTTTCCACCAAGACCCTCCTCAACATAAAAAAAGGAGGAGCTAGCACAAGGACATTAATTCTCAGAGAAACTGGGTGTCAAGTAAGCTCAAGAACACACATACCTAAAGAAACAGAAAATGAAACAGGCAAAAGTGATGTGTTTAAAAAACAATGACAGAATGTGAAAAAAAGCCACCTTGTAAGTATAGATGCAACTACACCAAAATGTACAATATGAAATATAAAGGATAAGATAATGAGGGGGAAAGGGAAAATAAGTTGCATAAAAAGTAGAGGATGTGATTGTTCAGTAACTATCCAAGTCTCTTTTAGAGGAATAAAAAATGTAATAATAAATACAAAGCATACTTCTGTATTTGACATGCTAATCCTGGGCAGGAGAGGCCATCTGATACTGACACTTACTTTGGCAAATACCGTCTTCACATAAATGGGTAGATCTCCATGAGGACTTCCATACCCGCCTACAATACTGAAACCCAACCCATCTGGCCCTCGATCCAGAGTGATGGTTTTGTACTGTGGAGGTCTGTAATACCAATAATAAAAAAAGCTTTCTATTTTTGATATTTGAAGTCTAGTGACAGTCAAGATTAAGCATTTCTGATCTCTTTATCTTTCTCTCTTATATTCTGCACTGTTAGCAATTAGCTATTCACATCTTTCTGCTTCAGACTGTGATCCAGCAAGGCCTTGCTTCTGTCTCTACACAGCTAGAACAGTGTTATGTTCTCTATTATATTTTTTCATATTCTATCATTCTTCTGTGGCAAAGCCTTTCAAGATCTCACCCACATTAAACCACTTCGTTCCTGTCACATTCCCAAAATGTACATAGCTTGAATTTCTCTTCTGTCGCCATTTCACTTCGTCTTTCATAACCCAACATGAGAGGAGTTATGATAGCCGCATAGAGTGGTCTTAACCGACCAGATAGGCGGGATATTAAATAAATAAATAAATAAATAAAAGCAGAACTGCATCCAGGTTTAACTGAAGGCATCCAAATAGACTTTGCAGAAATGAGAGAGTAATGGATTAAATGGCCAGTTTTACAAGCCATTACACTGAAGTGCAATGTTTCGCAATCCTGATCATATAGTATATTGCTAAACATCTCTAAGGTTTTGGGACTCTATGAGTCCACAATGAGTCTTGAACCTGAGTCCTGAAAACTCTGCCAATTTCACAAACTACCACACTGATTTCACATACATTTTCTTACCATAGACTTTACACCAATCACTTTCAAAAAAGAGAAACTGCATACTGGTTTGTTTATAGACACTCACCCTAAATCATCTTGAAAGATGCTGCTTGAGGTTAGTCCTGCAAATGAAAGACTAGAAGTTGGTGGTTCTTGCTGTTGGCTGGTTATGACACTGACATCTCCACCAGCAACAACCTACACGTTCATTTTAAACAAAAATGGAAATGAGTATGGACATTATTAAGTGAAGAAGAGCGGCACAGTCCTACAAAGTGAAACAAATCCACTAGATTTCTTATGGCTCCTTTTAAAAATTAGTACATTCTTGTTTCCAAGACACTCAGAATTTTCACAGGGACTCCTAATTGCTCTGCAAAGATGCATAAAGACATCTTTTTTAAAAGGTATCTCATCCCCTCCCCCGACATTTGACTCTTTTAGGCCTTCATTTCTCAAATACCGCATATAACTTTTGAATCCAAAGGCAATATCTACCTCACCCGAAGTTTAAGATGAAGTGTTGCTGTTTGTTGGCTTGCCACTTGTATTCAATTACTCTGCAAATTTCTGATATTTAATATTTGACTGCTGATTCCTCCCTCCCTCCCTCCCTCCCTCTCTCTTTACTAATTAGAAAGTATTTTTTTAAATTAAAAACCAATGCTCTGTGGCATTATGGGAAGTAAATTGGTGAAAGTCACAGAGCTAATCAGCTAGCTCAGTGTGTTTGACTGCTAACAGAAAAAAATGATTTCCACTATTGAACTGGATGCTTCAGACCGTACATCTTACTACTACAGCATTAGTCCTGTTACACAGCAAGATTTGTTACAGAAAACATGCACACCTAGACATAATCTTAGTGTCCTTCACTACCTATTAGCATGAAACCAACAGGCACCTTCTGTTTGGACCCATGGATTTTAGAACACATTGTTCTGGAAGAGATATGAATGCTTTCAAGGCAGAAATGCTAATTATGAGCTGCAACCATGATAAAATGAAATTATCTTGGCAATCATTTGCATGGTTGGGAAAGAAGCATTTTGCTTTAAAAGGTTTTGTGAAACTGATCACTCATGACAGTGGGCAAACAGATGTTGGTGCAGAGGGCTGGTAAATGCTTTCAAATGTAAAACAGATTTACCTGCTCAACCATGAGATCAGCTTTAACACACATCTGAACTCATACCTCTCTTCCCATGCACACCACTATCTTGTAACTGCAGCCCAAAACTAGCTTCAGAAGCAGGGTGACTATTACAAGCCTCCAGATGCTTTGTTGGAAAAGTACAGCAAAGCATTATGGCTGAGAACCAGTCATCATGATTTATAAACAACAACGGTGAGCAAGACTAGAAGAATTAAAACCATTAAATGTTAAATTCTCCCCTGAGCTTTATACCTATAATGGCTTTATTTTTCCACTCCTGTAAACAAAGTCTGCATCTATGTTCTGAACAGTACTGCAAATATCTCTGTGTTTGTCTATTTCTTTACCTGTATTTCAATTGTGCCTGAAGCATTTTTAAGCAAGCTGACCGCCTGGGAGTGAGTCATGCCTTCAGTGGATGTTCCACCAATGCTAACAATCCGATCTCCCACCTGGAATTAAAGAGCAGATGTTGTGGGTGAGGAGAAATCAAACATCAGCAACAACTAAGTTGGCTGCTTGAAAGACATCAGTTAAAGACGACTTCTAAAATATAAATGTCTGGCCCTACTCCCAGGTTGGATAAAAATAAATGATTTTTAAAACTGATTTAAATCACAATTTAATTTTTTTAAAAAAAATATTTATTTTATTTATTGTATTTATTGTATTTATACCCCACCTATCTAGTCATTTCGACCATGAACAAATCAAAATATTTATTTATTTATTTAAAGCAAAGCCATGCTCAAGGCAAGCTATGTTCAGAGCTGGGAGAACAGTGCCTGTGCTAGTTAAGAGCTTCTGGGAACTGTCATTCAAAGAAGTAATTCCCTAACCTTTAACTATGCCTCTGTTATACTTGCACCAAGCTGAGCAGAGTACTTTCATAGCCCAAACACCCCTGCTTTGAATTCATGCCCCAACTTTAAAATGCCATATTAATTCTGGTTATTAATTTTTGCTACACTGGAGATTATTCCTCCCAAAATACAAAATATGTTTTGTATCCTGGGCCTGATCATTTGCAATGCATTAAGGGTTCAGTAAAGACACTGCCTTTCAGCTACGGAAGGAATGCCGGAATCTATTTCAGTGTCCATAAGCTTCTCCAGAATTCTCCCGAATCATCTCCAGGACCTATGTACAAGCCAGCTCAAGTCTGGAAAAGCAGGTCTATAAATATTTCATGTAAACAAAGAAAACAGAGAATGCTAGAAGGTCATTTTCTCAAGTAATTAACATAGATTAACCAGAAAAATGCTTGGCTTATCTCTGCACATCACCTTAAGCTACAACATTTATGGACAGATTATGCTTGCTTTTATTCTCTCCTTACCCTCAGTTTCTGAGTCTGTGCTGCCACTCCATTTGGATGCATCATGGCTATAAAGATGGGGACATCTCCCAGGGGGCTTCCTACTCCTCCAGCGATACTAACTCCCAGTGAATCTGAAGGGCCCTGTTGCAAAAGATGTAAACAACAATAACAAAATAGCCAAATGTAACTAGTTACATTCTGTGCAACATCATTTGAAGAAATTTTTAAATCAATGGTTTCCATGCTTGACTCTCCAGATGTTCTTGTACTAAGACTTCCAGAAGCCTTCACGACTAGCTGTGCTGGTCAGGATTTCTGGCAGTTGTAGTCCAAGAACATCTGGGGACCCACAGTGGGGAAGCAGTGCTATAAATCATGACTGATGAGCTTAGAGACATAAATGTCTCAGATATGACTGGGGGTTCTAGATTCTCAGTTACTGTAACCTGCTTTATAGAAACACATGCCTTTGCACTGCTTTATTTGGGAGGGGGTGTTTGGCTTTCATGATGGTAATCAGAAATGTAAATCTTATTTCCTTCTCATAGGTGAGAACAAAAAGATTTTCTGTCCTCTGAACAAGATTAAACAAGTTTTTATTTATTCTTCCCATTAGGGGCTTCTTTATCAAAATATTTGCAGAAGCTATTTTGTGCAAAAAAAGTGTATTTTGAACTACATAAAGAAGGCGGGTCTTTTTTAAAAAACACAGAATTCAGTTTTGTTTTGTTTTTGAACAAATTACAAGTGTTGGTACAAAAGCCAGTTTTTTTTAGAGTGTGCATGCGTTGAAAATGATGCAAAAGTGAAAACTCTCCCAGCAGTTGACATTATTTTTCAGTGAGATCTTAATGTACCAATACGCATTTCTGCATTAAAGATGAGCACATTTGTGAATCATTATATCCCTAAAGCACAAGCCTACCTTAGCTGCAAGTTCGCAAACCGAAACAAAAAGTGGACTCCAAAACTAAAATGTCTACATTTAAAAATAAGATCATATTATAGCTTTGAAAAGGTACTTCAATAGGCTACAACTCCCACAGTCTGTTCCCCTCCCCGCCCCATAAGCATGGCCATTAGCCATGCTATATGGGACACTGTGGGAATCAAAGTTCAAAAAAGCAACTATTATAAGTTCGAGAGTCTTAGAGTGAGTATTGAAAATAACATCTGTGCTAGAAAAGAGATGACATCAACCACCGTGGTCCAGTGGTTGAAATAATGTCACAGGTGTTTATGTACACTGATGGTGGGAAGGGGGCAATTCATTTACAAAATGGGCATTACAAATTTTAAAACCATTGCACTTTTCAGAAAATTCATGAAAATATTCCTGCAAACTAAGTGATTAACCCTTACACTAACCTTTCTAGATAGATTTTAAAAATTCTGCACCTCATACTCTGATGGTTAACATTTTATTCAGTCCATTTTAATGCCAGTGGCCTAAACTTTCTATCCCACCCAGTGCATATCAGAAAAGGAAGGACAAAGACTTCGGTCTAGGTGGGTAGGGTATAAATAAATAAATAAATAAATAAACAAACAAAGAAAGAAACAAATAAAAAACAGGCCCTTTTAGCAATATACACTGTCGTCTGAAATGTCTTTTTCAAAGAGAAAGTCACACTGCTGCTGCTGTCTAAAGAAAGCCATGTTCCCTCTAGTGTATTTTTTTTACAAATAACTTTAATTTTTGCATTTAAAGACAGTTTTGTTCCATTCAGTCTGAGACAGAACAAGTTAAATTTTGTAAGATCAACAGTTGCTCTTGTTTTAAACAGACATTCTTTTAACAATTAACTGGATCTAAAGCAAAGGTAGGTAACTTTGTGGATCCAAAGGCCTGTTCCTCTAGGGACCACTTCTGCTCTCGTAAACTCTCACTACTTTGCTTATTTCCTTCATTCTCTCTTTGTTTCCTTTTGCAAAACAAGGTGAGTAAGGGGTGTTTAAAGGAAAATAACTGTGCCTGGAGATTAAAAATAATGTTTGTCAGTGATTTCACCTCACAATATCTCTGAAGTATATGTGGAGGACATGAAGAGGAATCAATCTGGACATGGGATGTGCTCTCCTCTGTGGAAACTTTAACTGACCAGAATGGCTGCTCTGCTACCCAGATGAGGGTGGCTTGTGATCTGGTCATCCTCATTCTGGTCAGTTAAGATTTCTATAGAGGAAAGGACAGCACATCCCATCTCCAGGTTGATCCTTCTTCTACACTGTAAGAACATACTTTTAAAAAAATCATTTGACTTAGTGTTTAAACATTTCTAAAATCCCCTTCCATATTAATGGTACACCTGGACATTGTACAAATAGGATTAGCACAATAAAATATAACTAAAGCAATTAGAAAAACCAAGAAGGGGGAAAAAAGGCCTTGCCAAATTGAGTTGGTGTTGAAACAACTGCCATGTTGGCAACACCTGTACACCCCAAGGAGGAGCCTGGAGTGCAGCAGCCAAGAAAGCCCCTTCACTTATTGGCATCTAAGTTCTCCCCAGGTGTTATAAAGGAGAAGGTGCTAGCATCACTCACCTCTAGATCCATTTACTCACAGAGAAGCAGCAGGTCTGAATAGCAAAACTTCTCTATCCTTGGCTGATTTTCCACATGAGCTGCTGCACATTAAAATCAGGGTTCTGGCTCACACAGACAGCCTCCATAGACAGAAAAAGCTTGCCCCTTCAGACCTGTGGCTTTCACGCGGCCAAGTTAACACTGGAGATTGCTTCCCTCCCAATGTGCTGAGTAAATACATTTCCCTAATGCCTAAACAAGGCTACAGTGCATGCATCTACACTCTTAGAGAACTCTTAGAAAAGACCATCTCTGATGGCCTTATATTGTTTAACTTTTAAAAAATAGGCCTTGAAATCTTCTCTTTTTCTAACTGCATCTTTGGAGGTATCGTTGTTTCTAATATCAGTTTTATGTTTGTTTCAAGAAGACTTAATTTTTATATGTGACTATTGCAAATGAGGATAAAGCACAGAGACAGCCATGGAAGCAATCTGCCTATGCAAGGGAAGACTGGGCGTACACTTCCTGAACTAGAGGCCTACCACCATGCCATGTGGAAAACTGCTTTTAAACTGAGAATACTTGCAATAGCAGTTAGTAATATTATGGTAAGGAGGAGGTAAGAGGGAATACTTTTCATTTTCCAAAAATTCTAACAGGCATCTTAAAGTCTTTCAACATTTAGTAACCCTTTGGACTCTAACCAACTGTTAATGCAGCTAAGTGAATATCCATTTTAATCTAGTCTGATAACCAGCTTCTTTATTCTACTTGCCTTTTTAATTTCAACTGTTCTTAATCCTTGTATTTCAGATGCTACTGTTGAAAAAAACACACAGAGAGAAAACCAGTGAGTGATTTACATGACACAAGCTGAATGTCTTCAAAAAACAACTATTAAGAAACCATCTAAACCATCAAGAGTATTTAGTCCATTTGTTTCTAAAGAACAGTGACCAAAATTCTCTTGTGCAACTTTATGTCACTTAAGTAGGATGACATCATCATCTGGCAAATGGGTTATTTAATTTAAATTAACTAAAAGCTTCCTATTGCCCCATTTCATGTTTAAAGGCCCCCTGGATCTGCCCTTGGGAGCTTAGGATGGCAAGGGAGACTTTAATAGCCACAAATTGCTGCAGGACCAGTAGCAGACCAGCAATGACTTTTAAAGACACCTTTGAAAAAGAAAAGAGAAAAGTTGGTTTCCTTGTCCCCACCTAGTTTGGGGCATTCAAGAAACAGATATAGAACCAATCTGACCAGAGACATTGTTGAAAAAGAAAATATAAATTGTGTAATAATCAGTCTTGTGATGCAGTAGTTAAACTGCCAGTACCTGGTCTCAGATAATCAGCTTAAGGCTGATTCAATCTTCCATCCTTCTGATGTCAGTAAATTGAATACAATGTATTCAGTTGTAAACTGCCCAGAGAGTGCTTTAAGCACTATGGAGCTGTATATAAGCAGCACACACTTTAATACAGAATACAACTTCCCACCTATTGAACAGCTAACACTCATATATGTTCCAGCAAAAAGGTCAAAAAAATTATTTTTGCCATCGTGAAATATTTCAATAAAGCACATCACTTTCCTCTAATAATTCTGAATTGTTGAAGGAAGAAATTTGCTTTGACTTAAAGCAGAAAGTTATGCTTGTACCTTTAATCCAAAAAGACGTGAAATTCAGACCAAAGATCCATCTCTACTCCTCATTCAAATCTTGAATTTTATGTCTTTTTGGAGTAAATGTACCTTTTGCACCTTAAATTCCAAAAAGAAGAAAAAACGAAACAAGAATAATTGATACAGCCACTTCCTAATGTACCCATGTAGTTTACTGAAGGGATTGATCAATGGTTTAAATTTTTTCAGTTCAACAATTTTTCCCTGTAAATCACATATTTTTCCTTTTCCATGGGAAATTTTGCTACTTTTTAAAATGTATGGAAACATGGTGGCTGATCGGGGAAAATCTTTATTGAATAACTTAAGATAAAACTTTTAAAAAAATAAGCACATGCTTTAGAAAGTTGTTCTGTAAGGAACCCACAACCACTAACAAAGAAGAGAAAGTTAATATTCAAGACTCTGTGCTGTAACATACACATCCTTCATACTATAACATTATTCATAAATTTGTGCCCCATGAACAGTGGTGTGCTACTCTAAGTTCTCCCTTGAAAACACATTCCAGGATCAGCTCTTTGTAGATGTTATTTACCAAAATCTTCCCCTTCTACCTGGCAAATAGAAACGGAAGATATGGAGGCAGTGACAGATTTTACTTTCTTGGGCTCCATGATCACTGCAGATGGTAACAGCAGCCACAAGATTAAAAGACATCTGATTCTTGGGAGGAAAACGATGACAAACCTCGACAGCATCTTAAAAAGCAGAGACATCACCTTGCCAACAAAGTACGCATAGTCAAAGCTATGGTTTTTCTAGCAGCCATGTATGGAAGTGACAGCTGGACCATAAAGAAGGCTGACCGCCGAAGAATTGATCCTTTTGAATTGTGCTGCTGGGACAGACTGTTGAGAGTCCCCTGGACTGCAAGGAGAACAAACCTATCCATTCTGAAGGAAATCAACCCGGAGTGCTCACTAGAAGGACAGATCCTGAAACTGAGGCTCCAATCCTTTGGCCATCTCATGAGAAGACTCCCTGGAAAAGACCCTGATGTTGGGAAAGTGTGAAGGCAAGAGGAGAAGGGTACAACAGAGGACGAGATGGAATGGATAGTGTCACCAAAGCTACCAACATGAATTTGACCCAACTCCAGGAGGCAGTGGAAGACAGGAGGGCCTGGCGTGCTCTGGTCCATGGGATCACGAAGAGTTGGACACGACTTAATGACTAAACAAAAACAACATCCAAGGGGAAAGAATGTAGAAAACTACAATTTCATTCCCATAATAGCCACTTGAAATTGTCCACTTGGGTAAAAGTTGTCAAGATTACAAGGTAGAACTAGAGCATCAGCAAATATTTTTTAAAAAAAGAGAAGATGTTTGGCAGAAACATTCGAATTGGGACATTCTGCACCATTAATTCTGAGGGAGAGATAAAATGAAAACCTTTCATTAACTGTAACTATCCTTTGTCCCTTTGCACAAAACATTTCCCAATTTTTACAAATAATGTGTTATATATTTAATAAGATTGCAAGGAGAGAACAGAATTTAGTGAGAAAATGTTAATGGTTCAAACTTACAGGAATTCTTCTTCAGGCTGCTTTCATAGCTTTCAGGAGGGTTAGATCCAGAACCTGGGAAACTGAAGGATGAAAGGCTGCCACTTCCCTCACTGACCTTAAGAAATGGTATCAGTGAAAGTTACTTCTAAGTCCTTAAGTTCTATTTTTCTTCCACATCAACAAACATAGTCTCCTATTTCTGTCAAACTTGATAACTACTATGTCTCTTGTACCCTGCTCCCAATAGAGCTTAAGGGCTTTTTCTCTATAGGAACAGGAATATAACTCTGGATTGCATG